GTTTATTGGAAGACTACCTGTGGGCAGTGAATTTCACATGGGACAAGGAATGGACATGTAACAGTGTGGTGGTTGTCTCCTGGTAACTGGACTGGCTAACATATTGAGCATGGACTAATTTACCTGTTTTGGACTTCTTATGTACTTATTTTATTTATTGTTTTTACTTTTATGTTTTACTGTCATAATAAGAGTGTGTATCTTAATTTTTTTTTTTTTTTTACTGGTTTTTAGTTTGGTCTTGTAAAAAATTTAAAAAACTCAATAAAAGTTGAATCATAAAAAAAATAAATAAATAAAAATATTTCACTTGACGCCCTCAGTGTCACTTTGTCCATCAATATAAATATTTTTTAAGGTACTGTATCGAAGTTGAAGTGTTGTGACAACATTAGATCGCACAGAAAGTGTTTTAGCAGCTGGAGGCGGCTTTTTGTAATAGTTTAAATAAGTATGAAGCTTTTGGCTCGATGTTTTTGCATTGCGACACACCTCGCGTTTCTGCGCTCTAGGCGCCTGGTGTCGGAGCACTCTGAACTCCCCAAGTTGAAAAAACTTCAACTCAGAGTGGAAAAGCGCCCCACGTCATCTCTTTTTTCCCACTGACCAATCAGATGATGTGAGAGGCGGGCCTTCTGTGGTGCTCACGACAACAAGTTTACAGTTGGTAAACAATGGAGGAGAAACTGGTGGTAGCTGTTGCTGGATACCCAGAGCTATACGGCCTGATGATACACAGCAGGTTGTCAAACTGCCCCTGAGTCATCCTAAAATCTGCCTGTAAACGTCCATGATGGAGGAGAAGCTCCTGGACCAACTGGTGGTACTCCCCATGATCCAGCCTCTTTTTTAGGGTCTCATGTACCCACACAGATCTCTGTTTATCTGCTAACAGCCTCTCACCCTCAACCAGAGCTACAGACAGAACACTCTGCCTCAACATGGCAGCAACTAAGAAGGTAGGTAAGGAGGTGATGGGATGGTTGCCTGGCAACAATAAAAAGGCACAGCAAGTGATTTTTATTTACTAGTGGAATTCAATATAAGAAAAAAACTGTGTGGTGCGCCTCGTGTTTAACATCCTGCAAAACACTTTCTGTGTGATCTGGGCCGTACTCTATTAAACAGATTTGCCTTAAATTGAAAACTGAAGCTGCGTGTACCGTAATTTAAAACCTTCCACTTATTCTGAGAGGCTGAACTCATGCCACTCTGTCGTTTATTGCTTTACTTATTGCAGCAGCAGGGAAGCTTCCCAATCAAATCCTGTTTACATCGTTGTTATAGCATGATTATATTTACCAGAGTTTAACACAAAGCTGATGCACTCCACTGTTGACACCAGAAGAGAAACTTTAACCCAGTGCTGTGACTTGTTCCTATTTGTGCCAATCAGTCTGTAGCTGAGTAACACAGCTTAGAGACAGGACTCTTACCCAGGGAGGTGGTACTGTAGCGTGTCCGCTGCAGGGTGGCGTAGCTGGGCTTGTCAGACAGCAGGATGCGATGGGCTGGAGGAGCCATTATTTCGCCGTTCCTCTGCAGCGAGGCACACCTGCGAAATGTCAAATCAAGCCTCGTCTGGATGTTACTGGAGCTGTGAGCACGTTTAATGTCTACAGGGTCATGAATCCCAGCCTTTCCGTTGAGCAGCTGGACTTTGCAGTTATGGGCGTCACAACTCGGGATGACGTTGGCCTTCCTCTCGTCTGGTGCTGCCGTGGTCAGCGTTCCGTTAGAGAGGGACAGTTTGGCTAAATTACAGTTTGCTAGCTTTCCCAGCTGTCCGTGGCCGTTCAGACGCCGGTCTTGTCCCTTGATTGGTGACCCAGGAATGTCTTTCTTCATGAAACCAGGTTTGAAAAAAGACAAGAGGCTGTCGTGGCTGCGACCCTCCTGACCTCTCTGTCCCTTCCTGTCCTCAGGCTGAATGGCCATCTGTAAAAAGACTTTCTGTGCCCTGGAGGTTGGCCCTGTCTGGACCTTGGTCCTTCTCAGTGTGGAGTCTCTGCTCGGAGGTGCACTGTGGCTGATGTGATCCCCTAGAATAGCCTGTCTCTGAAGCTGCATCTGGAGGTCCATGGTCCTGCCGTGGTCCTGCCTCAGTCTCTTAGATGACCTCTGCCTCAGAGAACCATCATCTCTGACTTTGACGCTGCTGCTGTTACAGACTCCCTGGCTCATGCTCCTCTCCAGACAGACTCTGCTCTGTCCCTCTGGTATTTTGGGGGAGTAACAAGTGTCGGAGCTGGGTCTGTCTGTATAACTAAGACTGCTGCCGCTCGGTGAGCTGCAGTCCTGTCCTACTTCAAAGGCTCTTCCCTGGGCGCTCCTCTGTGGCGGCGTGGCCACCAGCGTTATGATCGGGTCTTTGGTACATCGTGGGCGGCGCCCGGACTCCAGGTACTCCACCAGCTCTCCAGGCTGGGTCTGGGCCGGGTGTCTGATGCGGTCCTTGGAACCAAAAGACCACCGCAGTGGCAGAACTTTGCTCAGAGGCTCCTTCGGCTTCGTTGGTGATCTCATGCTCACGCTCCTGCCTTGGCTCCCACGGACAAACGGTTTGGCTTCGAACCCATCTAGAAGAAAAAGATGGTGTTAACAATTCATAAACAAATGAAGCTCGAGGCTGTAAGTTTCTTTCTCACCCTGCCATTCACTCCTCGTCATCAGCTGATTCACAATCAACCAATAGCACAGTGACACACCTCCTCTGTCAGCCTATCATCTTACTGCTCCTCATTTTAAATATGGTTCTTTCTCTGCTGTAGTTTTTCTTGCTGCCGTCATGCACACCCTCCACCTCCCCATCACCACCTAGTCTTTACAGATTCATCAGCCTCATCTGCCTCATCAGCCACCACCTCCACCAGTGTCTGGACTCCATGGTGGGGATTTATCCTGCTGCCGCTCAGATGTCTCTCGCTCAAAAAATATCTCCCTCTGGTGTCCAAGCACCAGCACTTGCAACACTGTCAAGACAGTTTAAACATCCTGAACACCTACTTGTTTCTACTGCTTTGGGGGGTTCCTCTCTAAACACCGGCAGTTCAGGAGACTCAGGGGCCTGTGTGGGCCCTGGAGGTCCAGGGATGGGTCCTCCTGACACCACGCTGCCCCTCTTACTGTCCCCTGCCAGTCTGACCAGCCAGTGGTCAGACGCGGATGAGCTGGTGGAACCTGCAAAAAAGGAGACAGTGAATATAAATGTATCCAGAAACAAGTCCCCAACATGTTCCCAGAGAGACAGAAGGCTTCCCGCTGCAGCGTCTATTGTCCTCACATGAGTCACTGTGAGATCCACACTGCAAAATTAGATCTATGTGATCACAGGGTATCATCACAATTTCCACCCACCCTCATTTTGCCGAATGCATAAGGATGAATGCTTCTGTGACCTCGCTGGCAGCAGGTCAGCTTCTCTCTGCCACCATTGAGAACCATCTGCATTTGTTGGCTAATGACAGTAAATCAGATCACACTGAAAATGCACACTGATGCGGCACATCAAGCAATTTGGCAGAGTGAAATTACACAGGGGAAGAAATAACAGATTCTGATGGTGTGAGGTGTAATGATGATACTCCCACATCCCCTCCATTATTTTTGTGTTTCGTTAAAAGCACGTAGAGCAGGATCCACCTGATTGTTCTCAACATAACCGACCATGACAGAGGATTTGAAAGGGCTAACCGGTGACTGAGGAGCTGGCAGACCAAGGAGGTATGGTGTTTCTTCTCTGATAGAAGAGGATGTAGGCTCCACGTGTGCACACCTCCGCCTCTGGCACCGGCTCAGCACTGCTGTCATCATAACTGTACCACTGCCCGTCCACTGAGTTCCTACAGAAGGCTGCAATCACAAGAACAATGGAAGGAAATGATCTTCATCAAAGACTGGAAACAGAAAATGTTAAAAGATCATTGATCCAGGTTAATTCATGTCAGTGTGGTGAGGTGGCATGTAAAAACATTTTAGGACTATGATCTAAAATGTTCAGACTGTATTCCCACTTGGTTTTTAGTACAATGACTAATACTGGATTTTGGGGGCAGAAAAAAGTGTCCACGAAGGAGGACAACAGCTCTGAATTAGGTAAAATGAAGTATAATGTCAAGTAAACCCAAAATGTGATGTCCTCATATGAGGACACAGGGTCTCAGGAGGATAATAAAGTCCCAATATCATCAAACAAGACATTAAAAAAAGTCCCAATGTCCTCTAACAAGATGATAATAAAGTCCCACTGTCCTCAAACGAGAC